ATGTAACGGGACGTCACGACGACGACGTCCCTTGGTCGATCTCGTGAGAAAGATGCTGCCAAATTGCATCTCTCATATATGGAAATCACCCTTTTGTTATTGAATCGTAGAAAGGAGCGCTCGTAAACAGACATTCGTCGTGTAAGTTTTCTTTCATTTTGAAAAAAAAACAAGTCGATCGAGAGATTTTTCATTAGTTCCCAATTCGTTGGGAGGCTAATGAGAAAACACGTTTGACGATTAGTTTCACGAGAGAAAGAGAAAGAGAGGGATATTTTATTCTAATTCTAATGACTGTACCCGGACGTTATTGTCTGCGCGTTAAAACGCAGTTCCGCTGACCGACTTCTTTTGTCTGTGTCGACTAAAAGTCATCGATATCGATACCTCGTCGAAACGTAAACATCGAAGCATCTCTCGCGACCTCTGTTCGGTTTACTTGGATTTTTATTCACTCGTTGCTCACATGATTCTAAATTTCTAAATACAAATTTACAAACGATCCAGTTTACACACATTCGAGAACCTATAGGTACCTCTTATTCTCGAAAACTCGCGCAAAACTTCCCAGAAACGACGGCGGTATATTTCATTTTTCCGCGAACGAGCACGCGTGCGCATCGTCACGAGACGACCGGACGGAGGGTCAGTCGGAGAATAAAAAAAAAAAAGAAAAAAAATGCACGCACGTCTGCAGCGACCCCGAGGGATCTCGACTGAAAGGGTTGAATAACAGGGAAGGTCCGCCGCGTCTGGAGATGCTTGCGCCTCATTAACGTTAACCTCATTCGACTTACGAATGCAGATGCACTTACGACGGAGGCAGTCTCACGCTCGGCTCCTCTCTCGCGAATTGCGCGGAAAATAATACGGCGATGGCGTGTTTACACATAATCCTCCCAATTTATTAAATTGCGAGAGAACTCTCTATTTTCGAGGGGTATTTTTTTTATTTCGCGAAATACACAACGGAGAACTTTTCGCGGAAAAATATGTTTCGAGGGAAGAAAATGAAATTTTATATATATATATTACCGTCGTAAAAAACTTTGCCAGCAGCAAAACAGTCAACAACTTCGGATTGTTTCTCTCTTCCTTGAGAAAGAAAGACCCTTGTGTTGCGAGAACCTCTTCTCATAATATCGCGGTGTAGCCTTCAATGGTATAAACGCGCCACTGCATTGCTGCACCAGCAGGGAGTGCAACGTGAGCGCAACGACGGCTAATCACAACTCCTCGTCTCGTGGTGTATATATCTCGTATTGACAAACGGACAATGGACTCTCGCGTTGCGAGGCGGAGAGAAGAATACGCCCGAACGTATTGTGTTCGTCGAAGCTAGACGACAAGATACAATATGCGGAAAGCGCGAAAGCTTGTCGGTAACGAGCGCAATACTGAGAAAACCCTTGTGAGAGGTTTGTCGAAATTGCGCTTCGCTGCGAATCATTGAAGGTTATCGCTTCAATTATCGACACTAGAGACATTTACTGAACTGTCAGACGATATAATAACACGTGTTATATGTACCATATATATACATAATATTTATATATTATACGCGTAAGTACCATACATATTTAATTTTAAATAATACAACGTGAATCTATTATATTCCGCTGTCTATTATTCGCGTTCCTTAATATTGTATATATGATATATATACACTCGTTGAAGCGAGAGCTAAAAAATATAAATATAAATTATATTCTCGACATACTAACGATAATCTTGTTTAAAGCACGAAACACATAGTTGGAAAAATACTTCTGTATTTTTGTCGACACGCTTAGATAGTATATCACCTTTATTGTATCTAATATGAAGCGAATTAATCTGTGACAATGCATTATCCGATAAATGTGATTGATATCGAGCGGTAGAGAGAGAGAGAGAGAAGGAAAGATTTGTGTATATACATATAGAGAGAGATAGGAGCAACGTGACTGCTTGTATGCGACGAAGATTAACACTTGCTTTTCGTATCGTTTAGGTTCTAAATATAAAAAAGGTAGGTCCGTTTCTGTCGAGTACGGCAGGAGGGCGAAGCAACTGTGACAAGAAGATTCACAGGAACCCCGAGAAGATATTGAAAAGTTAAATACGCATTTCCTTCGTTCGAAAATAGTAGAATCGTACCTGACTTTGTCAATCGATCGATAACATCCGATTTGATTTCCCAGAATTCATAATGCTTCGAATCGCATATCTTTATTCTTTTATTACGGAAGATGTACAGTTGCGCAAATGTCAAACTTCTGAGATAACGAAGAAAAAAATCGATAAACTAAAGATTTAAATAGATTTGAAATAAAGAAAGAGAAATAGAGTGTTCAGCATTTTTTTCCAATTTGTTTAACATATCGCGAACGCACGAGCTAAAGATATTAAAGTATACCTTGCATACGATATGTCCAGACTTATCAGAGGCGCATCAGTTCATTGAAATCTCCGTTTTGTTAAATTCACTCGAGATTAATTTTTCAACGAGGCGACGAGATAACTTGCGAGATAGCATCTCCGCATTTAACACGGTGAGAATGCAGTTCACCAAAATTTCTCAGCGGCGCATGACGGGGTTCGGGGCTCAGAAGAGAAGGGACACGCGCATGCACGTGTCTTTTAATGGGCGGCATTGAAGATGCTCCATATGCGTGTCGAGTGGCCCCAACCTCATTTCCGGATAAAAAAAAATCGAGATAAATAAATCGTCCGGCGAGAGAAATCGGGTATATCGTGATATCGTCGCGTTATCTTGGATAACGACGACGCGTCGTCGCGTTTAATGATACGCGATGATTATCGCGATCTTTCGCGATAAAATAAAAAATTAACGCGAACGGATCACTGCGCAAAATTATCGGTAATAAAGCCACGCATCTATCTTTTTTTTCGTTCTTACGGCGACGTCTCCTTTCTTCGAGATGAAAAGATGCGATTTGCGCGTGACGAATCTTTATTTAATTAAAGTCATTGAAGCCCCGAGATTAATAAAATCAGAACGAAGTGAGATGTATCATGATCAAATATATATATATATATATTAGAACCGTGAGACTTGACGTTATTATTAAATATTGTAAAAATGATATTGTTAGTATTAATGTTATGCGGTAACTTTCCATCGCGAGAAACGCAGATTAAAGAAGATCGAGACAAACGTGTGATTTTCGGGCCACGCGTCGCCAAAATAATACCGTTGCTTCCGAATATATGTATATATATATATATATATATATATCTCCGCCGAGGAGATTCGCCTCGGGATAGAAATTACATGCCTCGGAGCCGTCCGGTATCGCTTTAATTCGATAACCTGTTTCCTTTTTATGCGTCGATTCCGCTCTCGCGGCTGCTGCCCGCATCGCTCGGTCTCGTTCTTCACGTTCTTTTTTTTTTTTTTTTTTTTCCTTCATCGTACCCGATCCTTTATGCGCGTCGTGGTACCAAGTGACCAGGTCGGGCCCGTGGCCGTGAAAGTTTCCTCTGTTTCACATATCCTTTCAATGACAAACCTACCTCCTCCTCCCAACCTTCCCCCGGGTCATCGATGGAGAGCCCCCGATTCGAGGAAAGGGAGAAATTTTCGAAAGCGATGACGAGTTTTTTTTGAGGCTGTGGTTTTGCTATCCGAACCGCACATCACCTTTATTGCATCACGGTGCATCGTGATGCAAAGTTGGCCGAGCCTCGCGAATGGCATTAAAATATATATTATTATAACGCGATCGTCACAAGTTATATATAATACGAGACGCGTGCATATTATATAAATTCGAGCTCTTGCAATTTTGACAAGTCGACGATCTCGTCGAGATAATCTCTTCATTCTGCGCATATACCATAAAATGATTCTTCGATGAACAAACATTTGATTCAAGCCCGCAGACGACAGACGGCGTCTTTTGAGCGCAATCTCTTTTTTTCTATTCTAGTGCATGCATGTCGTCTCGCACTTCACACTCGTCCACGAGTGCTTTGTATTATCTCTCTTCCTCTCTTTCTCTCCCGTGCGTTTTTGCAGCCCTCTCGGGGCACACTCCTTCACTCGCTCGTCTTCGAGGCCAACAACGCAAACTGGACCCCATTGTTGATCGATCCGCGGTGAGAGGAGTTTCTAGGAGCAGAGAAGCGTCATTATATTGCCTTATGCACAATCGAGGAATGATTGACTCACGAGTAAATTGCAGAAAAATGATTGCATGGCTGACGCTCGCCATCTCGCTCTCGAGAGCACTAACGTTATTATAGTGTTGTGGCGAGTATTACGTAGCACGATTCGCAGAATTCACCTTCGAGATTATAACCGAGTTTATTCTTCGGACCGTCGTAAAGGAAAAAATATAACTCCCAAGACGTAGAGATCGATGACCAATATACTTGATGATGCGAGAGAGCAGTAAATATTTTACGTGCGTCGAGTGGCTCGCACGTATGTAAGCCGTGTGCATCGTGTGTTCCAAACATATAAATATAACGTCGTGGTTAATATAGAATACGATTCGCGAACGTGTTCACCGTTAGCCGGAAGTCGTATCTGATCCCAGGTAGAGAAGGTTAATAAGTCACGCATGAAACTCCTCGATGATTTCTAAAGATATCGATAAACGGAGAGCCTCGGCGACGAATAAAAATTCCCCTACCTAACTTTCTACGTCATATCTCGCGGATTTTTAACAATTGCGAACTCGGTCCGCGATCAGCTGACTCCCTGTCACGCGTGTCGAAAATGCGTGAGAGTCGCGTTGCGGAATGATGGATTTTTTTCGCGCAAATTACTAACTCGACACAGTCGTGCTTCTCTAATGCAAACGCGCGTCAATTATCTTTCGCATGCTTCTCTCTACGTGAAGACAAGATATGTATATTTTCACTTTCTATATGTGTTTATGAACGTGTCCAGATTTTATACACGATATTCCGAGCATTTTCCGGGTTTTCTTATATTGGAATTTTGCGGAAACGCTAAGCTCGACGAAAAAAAAGAAAGTGTCACGTACCTTTGTACAACGTCATCGTTTCATTTAATCAATCCTAGAAATAGGTCATGACGGTTCATTCATCGGTGTCTCCTCCAAACAGCTTCTCTCTTCTTCCGGCTCCGAACCGGCGCGAATGGTTTCGTAAATAGGTCAGCGATTAACTGTACGTCGCTAATGCCGGGAGCGGTTTCTCCGATCGATGATCAACAACTAATTGGCGCTTGTGAAAACGTCTCGACCGCGGTCGCGCACGTACGAGACGACGATTGGCAAACGTCCCGGTCGCGCGTAAAGTTGATGGCAAACGCGCAGAAGTAACTTTTCCTCGCTCTTGAAGAATACATTGTATAAACGCGCTGGCAAGATCCCAGCGCGGAAATTGATTTGCTATAACTTTGCCGTACCTTGACTCCTCGAAACTCTTGATTCGCTTCGTTAAGACGCGGACACGGATATCACTTTGATTTGCGTATTGACGGAATATTAATCGCGTTCGCGAAGGACTTAATGATAAAGTATTCGGAGCGCTGTGTGAACTTGACGTTTGTTGGGCGAAAGCCGTTTTGATATTAGATTGATATTAATTACTTTGGAATTCTTGGACGCGTTCACTTTCGCGAAATGAGTTACGGCGAGTTATGCGCATTGTGTAGCAGCTCTCTACATAATTAGAAGGCATACATTTTGCGATTGACATTAATTGTGCTTCGCGCGCGGCGAAATAATGTGAAACAATTGACGGTTGGCCTACATCTGAAAAGTTGCGATTGCTTACGTTTGCGAAAAAATTCAGACGACTCTTGAGTCATTCTCTTCACAATCCAACGATCGAAAAATAAAAATTTTTCACACGGACATATGTAACGCGCAACTTTCGCAGATTCTCGTTTTGAAGAAGCAAACATTTTCGCGAGTGATCGCTATTCCAGATCGAAAATAATCGCTTTAACCGATCGATTTAGCCTCGTGCTGTAAAATTCACATTAATCGATTCTTCGAGCGTCCTTGACCTGTGATTTTTGCCCTTGCGATCGATATCGCAACGCGAACGTCATTCGAGCGCGATTGTTTCGTACGTATGTGAAAAATTCTCGGGCTGACAATACGTAAACTGATGCCGCATCCACGGTTGAATTGAATCTCGCGCCTTTCTCGCGGGTAAAAGCGAGCCGACAACGCCTTATAATTGGAAAGCTGCGCTCATGGAAAGCTGCGCTCGTGGAAAGTTATTTTAAAATTACCGCCTCACACTAACATTGTGATATAAAATTATATTGTTGATATAAAATGATATTGCTTGACATAATTTTTTCTTAATTATATAAGTATGCCAATGCGACCGCGCGGACAGAGAATGAAAGTGTGCCAGCTTATAATTTCAGCTTGATTTTACAATGTAATCTCGCACGAAGTCGCAATCATCGCGGTGTCATATTCTTCGGCGCGTCTCCGACACGCTAAAGATAGATGAAATTTACTCTCGCGCACGTATCTCGGTCACTTATGGCACTCACCTTGTGGGCAGAAGAATTATCGAGTTTGATATGATGACCCTCGGCGTTATTCGGGATTCTGAAGATTTTAAAGAATCTTCGAGCGAGATTGCCCGGCGATGTGAAAAAAACTATATAAAAATTCCATTCCGCTAAATGTCGCAGCTCAAGAACTCGCGGAATTGATAAATGCGTTTCTGACCTTGTCGCGTTCGTCATCTCGATTTATATATGGAGAACAATCATGGAGATTGATATTCCAAGAGCTGCAGGTTGCGGGACGATTCAATGTTGGTACATAAACATTTCTGTCAGAATATTATAAATGTCATTATAGACAATTGCGATTGATATTTGTGGTAATAAGAAATGATGCATCGATATATTTATTCCGCAATCGCCGCGTTAAAATCAGCGTGAAAGTAAGATGGAACACGAGAATCTTATATGCTTTCCTGCGCGGAGAACAGCGCGGGCAGCTGCAGCTGAGAGTTTCCAGTCTTTGTGTTGCTGCAGGTTGGCAGGTGTCAGATACGAGATACATCTGCCAACCTGCACGTGTTCGCGCGCATGTGTGCGCGCACGCAGGTATACATCCCTGCGTGTGTTGAATCGGGGTGCGCCAGGTCGACGAAATGTCGACGAGCCGGTGTACGACCGATCGACCAGCAGTATGCAGGTTTTGGGAAGCAAATCTGTTCACCTGCTGCACCATATCGCTAGGTGTGCGCCAGGCTCTCTGGTCCGCGTACAGCCAGGTGTCTCGAGAAAAATCGAAAGCCACGAAGCCGTCCAGGCCCGAGATTATTAAGGTTTGCCCCCGAGCGAGCGTAATGATAGGGTACCGGGCTCCCCGTTGGATGAGAGTGTCCAACTTTATCATATCCTTTTCTTTTTCTTTTGCCTTTCCGCTGCTGTATGCGAACGAATTTTGCTGCTCGATTGCCTCGCGACGTGTCCTGCCCATGTTAGGTTTCGAAAATCATGGTCAACCGCTAATTTCAACTTTCTTGGTCATAGAAATGAATATCTTGCTTGACAGTTTTCTTTTTATTAGTTGAAATATTAAAAACATGAATTTCTTTGAAAGACTAATTCTTCTATTCATCCGAGAAAGTGAGGTGGCTATTGTAAATTTTTATTCAATTTTTGTATTCGTTGTCATTTATCTCTCGTGTGATTTAAAAATATCTCGCATCTTCCAGACGCTACGATGTAAGTAGCGTGGGACCTTAAATTTATTCTCGATTATTTGTGGGCCTTCTATTCATCACACAAAGGGATCCTCGACGAGGTATCGAGTTATGTGTCCTCGTCTCTCCTCATGTCGCGGGAACACTCCATCAATAATACATTATACTTATTGATAATCTAAATAGAACTAGAGAGTCCTGATGCTTTTCATACACCATTACTGAAATTCAATCTTTTTCATTTCTATATATACACTTTCCTCTTTCCTTTTTCTCCATCATCATGCAATTTCCTTACTTTTTTTGCTTCGATATATCCTTTCGAGGCCTTATATCCGAGGGAGTCGAACTTGCTTCGTTCACATTGCTCGATCCCTTCTTAAAGGCAAAGAGAATCCATCTCAGGTATCAGCCGTTTCCTAGAATTACACGGACGAAAAACTCGGCCATCTGTTGAGCGAAGTTAATTGCGAGGGTGAAATCGTTGATTATAAATCTGTGCAACAATATTCTGATATGTTGGATGATAATTTCGTGCACGTTTCGTTAAAATTGTATTAAAGTTGCTTTAATAATCACAATACGGAGTCGCGAGGGAGCGCTTTTAATTAACGGAAAACCGTGGGCACGTTCCAAGAAGACAATGGATCATAAAGACTTTTCTACTAGAAATGAGAATGTCGATCGATAATTATTGAAGGAGTTCAAGCGATATTTTTCTTTTCAGTCGATGAATTTTTCTTTCTCTTTTGCACTTTTTATGCACTGTAATGTATTCCTCCGTAAAAATAAGCGGGACGAAAACGAATATCAATACGTTTTCGACATGTTCCGATATCGATTTTATAGTAGACGAGAAAGAGAGAAAAAGGCGCGTTCCGTTGCGTATAGATACGTGCGTTGACCTGTCATCTGTATAGTCCACTGCAAGGTTGTTCACCGATGTGACATTGACAATGGCATAAACAGGCAGGTCTAACGAACCTACTCGTTCCCTGACTTCCTGTCCTACCTATGTTACAAATCCGGACCGTGTATTTACCATAAAAATAGCTTCGCATTATTTCAAAGATAAAATCAAGCATATATAATATCGTGTACATCTTATGGATTCTTAAATTTATTTTATACAATTCATAATTTTTTACGTGAATAAATTTTTTTATAGAATTTATATAATTCACAGCATTTATATTTATATAAATTAATTTTTAATTAAAGCGTACAACTTTTGAAATGACAAAATTCTGTCACGTTACGTAAAAAACGCGCAACCTGTTTACATCATTGGCTCGTTTCGATCATTAAGGAAAGAAGAGTACCTTACCGCAAATTGGAGTGTTATTTAGCGACACGAATCTCGCGGGAGACTCGTCTAGATAAAAGTCCCGCGGCTGTTAGACCTATTTTCCATTGTTGCGAGTAAAGCCGAGATTAGAGGAGATCTGCGACGATCATCATTTTCATTGATGAGATCGCGTAGGCTCTTGACCGCGTTTCTTATGCAACGGTCGCCTTTTTTTCGGGATCCAGGGTCACTCTTCAATTAGACATCGATATGTAATTATAGACTCGCGTATAATTAGGGGCGGGCTCGTCGGCCTAAGAATACATCGATTTCTGTCACTGCACATTAGCCGCGGGGTCACTGTGCCGTTTATAAACGTCCCGTATAGATATTCTGATGGCAAATTATAAATCGTCCGTAATGAGTGCACGCCCGCCTCTATAAACCGTTACAAACTTACAGTTAATTCTCTTTGTGAGTAGTGACGATATCAGTTTTTCTTAAATTGAGAGAAGAAGGAAGAGAGCTTTTTGTGTCATCTTCATTTCCCGCGACTAAACACCTTCGTGAAATTATTACCCGTCGAATTAATTTTTCAAGAGACCCAATCGCGTTTTGATCGACCGATTTTTTTATGGATTTTTCTAAAGCTGTATTTGTCAATCTCCAATCGCTCGCGATGAATGCACCGATGGCTATGATGCGCATTTGCATGTGCATCGTTTCATATTTACAGCGAGGCGAATCTATTGCAGCTTCATTGTCCGACACTAATGAGACGAGTTTCAGTTATTCCCACATTGTTTTGCACAGACGTCCGATTCTTTCCTGACGCGTCCACACGTGATGGTCGTCGATTTTCTAAATACGTCAAATTATTTATGCGCGAAAAAGATATACGACACGCTCCTTCGTATTTCGCCAGCCTGATTCTGTTTAATCCGTAAAAAAATGCATGCAAAATTGATTATACGATCTCTCTCTCCCGGGATAAATTATATTATTATCATATTAATTACTTGTTAGCGCCGAATTTTTATAGACCGGTTATTTATGAAAGGAATAAATTTATGAAGCATCTGCATTAAATCTCTTCGAACATGCAAACAGTCGCGAGGCAAATTTCGAAAGGAATAATTAAACAAAGTGAAGCTATATGTATTATTGTACTTTCACTGTGGGCAGTTAAATACAGGGATCTCTCGACGTTCGTGCATATGTTGTACGTCGAAGGGGATATATGTATATGAATAGAGAACGAAGCGTCAGAATCGTGTAATCGCTCGCGGCGTCATTTCTTCGGCGCGCTTATCACTTCGCTTATCACTTATCGCGGATGCTCGCACACGTGCAGCGACGATGCGCATTTGCATATGCACACGTGTTTTCTCGTCGACACCGACGCGCTGCTCGGCCCAAGAAGCCACCACCCACGTTAATGCTTTGTTTCCGATTATTAAATCGCGCGTTTAGTCTCCGCGCGAAAGAGTAAGAGAGAGGAAGGATGATAAGAGGATGCACAGAGATAAATTGTGGTAGGCGAAAATGGGTGAATCGGAAAGAGAGAGACTGCGTTATATATTAACTACTAGATACGGAATATCGAAATAATTGCGCAGCGGAAACTGTCACATGATAGAGCGGACGGAAACTTTACTAGGTGAAGATAATTAATAAAAATAATAATAAAAATAAAAATAATAAACTGGTTTTATTTTCACGCTTCTCTCGATGGCTTTAATGCGAAACGAGATTGCGGGTCGGTAAATTGATAATTGTTTCTTCAAGCGCGATTTTAATGTCATTTCTGAAGTGATACCGTTTCTCGAGTTTTTTATAATACGATAGAAATAATGACCTAGTGAAAGGGACGAGTCATAATATAATTATTTTATATTTCATTTTTTATTGTATGAGCATTTTTATATCGAACTGCTTACGCAAGTTATTACAAACTTTGCCTATACATTTCAGGGATTGATACATTTCAATTATTAATAATGGAATAACTATAATTACGCTCCTTTTATTAAATAATCATAAGTATAATTATTACTCAAACGATCTTTGTATCCCATTTTGCTGTAACGAGCATCCGTTCCTTCTGATTACAGAGTCCTGGAACGTTGCACAAAGATGTCGGCGGTGCCGGGACGAAGGTCAGCGAGAAAACGGTCGGTGGCGTCGGCACGGCGACCCTCACCACGCTCTCGTCCATTAATAACGCATCCAACACCGGCCGTAACAAAAACAACCCCGTATCTCACGAGGTAAGCTACACACAACGCAACTATATATGCGGAGAGAAGAGACCAGAGAGAGAGAGAGAGAGAGAAAGAGATCCTCTCGCGCGTATATATTGATCATAGCCGAGCGATACGTCATCTCGGGCCTCGCAGATGACTGCGATAATTAACCGGTCCTGCGCTTGAATTTATTGCCCATTAATCCGTTCGCATTCACCGGGCGTGCGTGCTGAAGGAATCGGCTCGTCCCTTCCGCTCCGCGATATCTAGACAGCCTGTATGCCTTTTGTGCGCCTGTGTCTTTGTGTACGTTTGGTACACAGGCACATGACATTATTCAGTGCATGACTTATTGGATGCAGTATAAAGTACCGTTTACAGTTTAGTTCCACTTTTGTCCCTATCTTTTTCTCTCTCGGGCCTGCATAAAAGGAGAATAACACCCGCATCTTTCGCGCGATGGAAAAAACCGCAAAAGCGTGATGCGATATTTTGTCAAATATACTCAGCGCTAAAGTTTAATATTTATTTATAACGATAGAAAGGAGGAATAGAATATTAATTGTATAGAGATATCCCACTTTGTGCCTTTGTTCGAGAGGTCGACGCGAAAGCGCGGAATAAAGGAGATCTCTCGTCGATGACGCGATCGAGGATCGTTTGCACGAGACTGTTATCATCGTCGGGCCACAATGTGCACGCGGGCCGTGTACGTAGGATTTTATTGGCCATTGTATTAACGAGGAAAATTACGCGTGCTCGCGCGTGTATGCGTTTATCGCGGTGTCCGCATAAATTTATCGAGTAGAATTCGCGCGCCCGTATATCGGCGGCGGCGATCGCGACGAAACCCACGGCGCGGTTTCGCCGCCGCAATTTTTCTTAACGGTTTTATCCGGAATTTATGATGTAAGAAAGAGAGAGAGAGAGAAAGAGAGAACGCGGATTCGCCAGCGACGCTACTCGGACGTAACTAATTGAAAATTGTTGCCCCCGGCTACCTGTTAGGTCGCGATAAATCGTGTCCCTGACATCGGAACGTGCACGGACAATCGTATCTTATTTCCCCGTTGCGGTTTCGGCTGTGAATCCGTCGCTGAACCACGTCATGAAAATGGCGTTCAATTTCTTGAGCTCGATTTCGTCGTCCTCCGGGGCGCGAAATAACCGCAATAAGATCGCAAGTGTATGCCGTCGTATCTGTGTAAGTGTACGACAATGGACGCAATGAAAAGTATTTTGTGAAATTAAAACAGATATATCGTAACCATTCATTTATCTTCCGTTGGAATCAGTAAAAAATTAAGCATTAGCTCTCCTTTTGAATAAACACTTAAATTTATTTATATGTTTATATAAAAAAAATGAAGATAACAAAGTAACAAAAAAATTAATAAAGCACAAAATGAGAAATAAAAATTTTTAATTGTGTTCTCTCCCCTGGAAAAAATTCTGAACACTCATGAGCATAACGATTATAAGGGTCAATGATAAACGTGTAAAGAATCACGAATTGACGCAAATTGCTTTTTCCTCACAATGGTTCTTTTTTCATTCAATTTAATTTATATAAATTAATTTTTTTTTTCATATGTAATAACCTGCGCTTATTAATAATCGCAACCTTGGGCGATAACGTCGCTGCGTCTGCAATTGCCAGTCGAAACAGAGGGAATTAATCGTCCCGCGCCAAACACTCGTTAAGAGAGGTACAAAGAGAGATATACCTTTCTAGTGGCCCGCGGCCGATGTCGTCACCGCGGTTAATTTGTTCGCCCGAACTGTTATTACGCTCGTCGCGGCCTCGATTCCGTCGCTGTATCATTTCTTGCACCTCCGTGACACGAATTCGCCACGTCATCGTCGTTTGTCTCCTTCCTTAGTGTCTAATCCACACGCGAATTTTTTTCTTCCTCTTTTCTTTTTTTCGCGAGTCTCATTACGTGACCGAGACGATCGGATTTCGTTGCGTTCACGCGTTACGTAATTTTATGTGATCACGATCCCTCATGCACATTGTAATTTTTTCAACAATTTTTTACACACATTAAAAAAAGAGTCAGTTCGCGTGCATATATAACATATGTATCCACAAGGAAAGAATTTTTTGCGGATTACAGGTAGCGCGATTTACGTCTACCTGCATCTCTCGAAGAGATAGATACATGCATAGACACTTCTACAGGCGCGGTTCACCGTTACTTTTACTCGATACACGTGTGTATTACGCCGAGATTTATCGAGCTCTCGGACTAATTCATACGTGAATTTAGAAAGTCCAACACGAGATTTGTAGCTAATTGTTGTACAGCGTTTGTGCAACCGTGACGGGCGCGAAAGCCAAATGCTCGGCTCCTTCGGTTGCTGTCATTTTGTAAAACGAAAGCGTTCATTAGTCAGCCTAAGCCGGAGGCACCGATTAACGCGCTTCATTCGTCGTTGCGCTTACTCGAGAGAGTAATTATTGCGCAGCTTTTGCCTTTTCATCGATTTCCTCTAATTTTCTCTAATGATCTTAGCGACGATATATCAAAATTATTTCTATTTTTATTTCTGTCAATATATTATTTGATGATATAGTCTTTATTATAATATTATAGGTCGAATAATATAATATTAATTAGAATGTTCGCGTTTAATAGTAATGATATTTTATTTGACGATATAGCCTTTATTACAATATTATAGGTCGAATAATATAATATTAATTAGAATGTTCGCGTTCAATAGTAACGACGGTGTCAGGATTTTTTACACAATAGATATCGATCGATGAAGTCTTTAAATAGGATAGGTCGATTATGAAAGCTCTTCTTTGGCGAACTTGAGGGGGTGTCTTTTGCATAAATGGCTCGTACAGAGACTGGTGCCCTTTCCGGAACGAGACGTGACTCACGTCTCTTCGAGACATGGCGTAACAAAGATATAGCCGTGCTACTCAATATATATTCTGAATGCTACAAAGCCTAGCTGATCGTAAAGACGTTTATCTCCATTATATATAAATTTAGATAAAACATTTTTAACTTTAAATTTTTTAATTTAATTTCATAAATTTTTATTATTTTTTAAATTTAATTTCCAGTTTTATATGATGCTCTCCTCCTTAAACTTTTAAAGCTCTCTATTTTACAAAATTATTTTTCGCAACCTTTACGTTTGACATTACAGAAAAAAATCGTAATCAGTATATAAATATCTTTACGATGTGTAATTTAATTAATATCTTGTGTAATGTAGGGACTTATATAAGGCTGCTGTGATATTCGTGATAATCTATATGTATCTTGTCGGATAGATTTACAGCCTCGAGAGATTTTACATGAGATGACATACCATAGTTGTCAAACGCAATCATTCAAAGCAATCCAATATATAAATCATTGCTTCGATCGGATGACGCAGTTTGTGTGTTGAGTGAGAAAGATAAAAAAGTATTATTAATTGGAAATTTAAATGACTTTAATTAATCACAGGTGCGAACAATTTAATTTCAACGGAATATTCATATATGTTTTGTACACATATGGACTCTTTATAAAATATTCGAATGCGAGTGTACATACATTATTTAATTGCACGCGATCTGCTTCGGGATCAAAGTTTATATATATCAATGATTGTTACGAATTCCTTATTCACATCTATATCTCGTCAACATGTATCGTTGCACCACCGATTGTTCTAATCAAAATTACAGTATCCGATTACATACGGCAACTCCGTTATGTCTATCTCTGTACTCGCGATAATAACTGTGAAAATAAATCGTCGCGTCGCGCGTATGCTAATTTATTCTTATATTCATTACAATCCGAATAATCACAGCCGAATGTCGAATGTCAAATCATAACTGAATATCGATAACTTTGTCCTGCCGCTGCTATATGTGGTCAAACAATTCACGAACTTTTTTTTATTTAAATTCGAGAGAGGGAGAATTTTCTATGTCGCGCATTTTGCATATTTTCGTTATTAATTTTACATCGTTTTTATACGAAAAGCGCGATAATTTATCGTTGATGTACTTTTTATTTCACCATTTTAGCGCGCTTTATTGTAACGCTTAATTCTGTTCCGATGGAAATTGCGAAATTGCACTTTTTTGCCAAACGAGGTCTTTGTGGGATTTCGGGAACGGGACACCCCGGGAGTTGTGCAGTAATTGAAAACACAAGCGGGCTGCTCCTCCCGCTAATTAAATCCGCCGAGTGTATTACACTCTGACGTAGGAGTCGACGACGGTCGATTGTTTGCGATTTTACTGCGTTTGAATATGTGTATGTACGAGACATCAAAGATTCAGTACGCGCAAGTTAATAGAGTCACGATTTGCAACAATAACGCACGAACGTCATGCGACCATAAGAAGCCTCGCTCGGCACAAGCATTATTTACGCACAAGGCGCTGGTAACTCGACCACCTCGTATTGTATCTCGGATTTCGCGATAGCATAAATACGCTACCTGCGGGCCACCCCACGGGCTAACGATCCTCGTGACAAAAGTAACACAACGCCGAGATTAGCATCCGAGCTGCAACAACAGATCTCTTTCCGCCTAGTCTTAAGCTATGTCCTTACTGGAGCAACAACTGGCAACTTTTTTAAAAAACATGGAGCATCAACAAAAAGTTGCTCGTTGTTGTTCCAATGAGGATGCAACTTGAAACTTTCGGTAACAACCAACAACTTTTTTAAGAAACATGGAACACCAACAAAAAGTTGCTCGTTGTTGTTCCAATGAGGACGTAGCTTGAAACTTTCGGTAACAACTGCCAACTTTCGTAAGGAACATTGGACATCAACAAAAGTTGCTCGTTGTTGCTCCAATGAGGACGCAGCTTGAAACTTTCGGTAACAACTAGCAACTTTCTTAAGGAACATGGAACATCAACAAAAGTTGCTCGTTGGTGCTCCAGTGAGGACATGGCTTTATGGGAGGCAGACAATTGTCTCTCCCAAGTCCCTTCGTATTTAACTCCGTTCGGATGTAAGAGCGACGAGTGAAGGGAAATTACCGAC